GATTATGGCTCTCGTTCGTGGATTGGTGCGAGTAGGATGTCAAGAGATCAGTAGAAAGTAATCCTTTCATCGAAAACAGTGTGTTTGTGCTCTTTGTACAAAAATAGGAAAATGGCGCGTCTTAAACGGGATTACGCCTTACAGAATTGTGAGTATATTGACAATATGTTGGAGAATGTTTTTTGCTGTTTGGTTTTTTAGGTTAGATCCGATTTTTTTAGAAGTGCTATAGTCAACCCACATGTATGCCTTTGCTTTCAGTTGACTAGCTAGCTTGTGTTGATTAAACTAGTTCAAAACAACTGGTAGATCCCGTGGACCTTATTTTCCTGGTGTGTCTTCAATTCGAGTAGTACCCTGATTCGTGGTGCGAAACACCGAGCCATACCGAGCCAAGAATGATCAGCAAACAGTGGCATGGTAACGAATCCAGATGTGCTTCTCTTATAAAGATGGGCCACCAAAAAAGGGGCTGCCAGGGTTTAATGTGTGTGCAAGGGTTCAATGTAGAAATGTTGGTGTTATCTTGGGTTTCAGCAATTTAGAGGGGCAGCCCCCCCTTCCCCACCCTTTTTTCCTTATCAGTAACTATTGACACATCCACAACCAGCGCATAAATTGTCTTTGAGTCACACAAATTCTACCCTGGATTATTGTGTGGAATAAAGCACTGATCGTTTATTTATACATTACGATACGATGGAGGTCGATCGAAGTTTTTCGAATAATATAATTTGGTAAAACCAACGGGACTTTTGCCTCTGTGTCAAAAGGAATCTTCGTGCGTAACCATGTCATTCACATGAATCCACGTTCGTTTTCATGCAAATCAAATTCAGTTTTATATGAGTTTTGCACCAGGACTCGTTCTGAAAATGAGGTAAGTCGGAGGTGGCCTATTGGATTCGAATAAATCGAAGGCCTGGACACCTCATAAAAAATTATCATAAAATTAATTATACATTCATTTTTGCATTGCACCTCAGTTCAGTGTGACATGTGGTCACGGACCTGCTCGGCTTCACTTCTTCAAGCAGGAATTTAACTGCGTTTCTGCCTGACAAATGACTTTCTAATGACTAGCAAGTTATTTCCAAGTCACAAGAACGCCCGGCCTCAGTTGAAGAAACAGAACATGGCCAAATTTAAGACGTTTAGCAGATTCAGCAGATCAGAGATATCTTCACTTGAGGTAAGGTGAAGAACCGTTGCTGAACAGCGCTATTTCTTTCTCGAAGGTGCGAAAATGTTGTTGAAACAACTCCGGAGACGAATTTTATGCACGAAATTTTATTACTTTTTCTGCTCTATTTCATACAGAGTTTACTGCGGATACTTTACACGCCACGCTCAACACGCTGATAAGGTTACCGTAGACTTTAAATTCTATCCAAAGTTTGCGAAATTGCTTAAAAACAATGTTTAATAATTTTGCTATAAATTGTTTCGTGTTCTAGCGCTTTAAACGAATGTTAGGATTTTAGCGCTACCTTGGACTAATGGATTCTTCACCGTTAAATTTCTAAAGTGTTTGCTTTCAACCACTTTAGACTCTTTAAAGAACAGTATTTGGTCTATAAATTTGGAGGTGGGAAAGTTTTATAACTTATAGTAACATCTTTGTCACTAAACCCGATTTTTCGTTTTTGTTTTAGATTACGGATGCCTTGTGTTCAACCATTGCGCAGCTAAAAAAGTCCTCGAGCTTGCTTGAGGACCTCTGTGTGAAGTAAGGCTCCTTAAATTATATTGTTTTCGTCGATAAATGGTTCTTTTTGAAAAATTTGGTGACAAGGCATTCATGTTTGTTTTTTATATCTACAGATAGACGCTGAGACTTGGGATAGCAAGTGGACAAGAAAAAAACCCAATCTTTATGTAAGTGCTGGTGACTGGGAATTTTGTTGTTTTCGCTGTCTCAAGTTTTTGCAAGTTTAAAATTCTAACTCTAACAAGCCATTATTTTTAATATTGGGAAAAATATTATCCAGTTTTAAAGCTTGATGTTGAAGTTTTTAGCTTGAAACTAGCAAAGCTAGCACATTATGCAGCGCATTTTGGTCATGCTGAATTGTTATCGATGGAATAATGGTGTTTTTATATTACAGGAGAGCTGGAATGTGGAGTAAGATTCACAGAAACAAACACAAGGTTAGGAGGAAACCAAACGAACGCAGGAAAATGTAAGTTGACTTCACGTTGTGTAGTTGTAATTGGGGATGAACTATCAAATGTTTTACGAAGGAAATTGCCAAAAATAATCCTGCACAACATAGCTAGAGAAAGAAAAAATCGTACAACGCGAGCCAAGAAAGAATCTCTTACTCAGGAAAAATTTCCCTCTCCACCCCTTTCAAAAACGTATAATTATTATCCAAATGGTCTTGTTAGCAGCAGGCTACTAATAAATTTAAAAGGCCGGACAACGCTTTTCAGTTTGTAATACATGTTCGACATTAACGTCTGTCATCGCAAGTTACAACTGGAGTGAATTTGAATATACAAGTTGATATACAAGTTTTGTACCATAGGTGTTACCTAGAATAACTTACATCACACAAATAAAATACGTGGATTTTAAAACAAAAGAACAACAGGCAAACGCAGAAAAAACGTGCTGAAATGTTAATTAAAATGCAACAAATTAAATTAACATGACGAATTTGCTGATTTAAAGAGGTGGTTAACATAAAAACACGCCATTTTTTCAGACTTTTTCATGGTTAAGATTTAATTCCAAACCGTGACAAAGTACACAATTTAAGAAAGCTTAAAGACCAAAGATTATGAAAAAAATATTTTTGTACTTAGAAAAACAAATCCTGAAAATTTTAGCTCATTGGACAAATCCTTCTCAAAATATTTTTTTTGAAAGGCAAACTGATAATTCGTTTTGAGAAAAGGAGCTTTAAACTTACAGCAACAGAAATGCTTATCAAAAGTTAGACTTCAGTACCTTAAAATTCCAATTTCGTTAAAAATAAAAGTTCGATTTTTTCTTACAGAATTTTAGCTTAACCCCTGGCTTGAAACAGTATATTCACCACGTCAAATTATGTCAAATTTATCGTGTTCATCATATCAATTTGCAGGATTACAGGGAGGAAAACTGAAACTGGGAATGGAAAAACGGGGAGCAAGCAATGGAATTGGGCAAAACGTAAGTACCTCCTTTATTTGTTTTATTGAGGGCGTTGAAATCAATCTGCACTAAAGGATTAAAACATTTTGATAGATTTTGTCATGTCCTGCAAAACAACAAATTAATATGATCAAATTGCGTATTTATGGCAAATGGAAAATCCCACGGTTACTTTTCCACGCCAAAAGTCAAACTCAATTGCCTAGATATGCAAAAACGAAAAGATGTAGTGACCTAAAGGTTTGTCTCTCGAACGGATCTTTGCATTTTTGGCGAAATGTTGGTGTAAAAAAATTCGAACTGAAAAAAAAATTGAAATTGGAAAAAAATGTGTTGTTTCAACAACGTAACAACCGATTGTGTGATCAACCATCAATCAAGCTCTTGTTGCTGTAGTGTAGTCAATTAAATTTAAGAATTGTTTTCCTTGATCGAGATTTGAAGTTAAAAGAATGTGAACGTTTTCAACTTAAAATGTAACCATTTTGAATCGCAAGGAACTTTTTAATCTACATATGACACTTTTTCAACCTGGAGGTTTCGGAAACTTCATGACTTTAAATTCCAAAGCAAACGTTTTCAACTTCAACAGAGACTTTTATTTGCAACTTAAATTCAAGGTTGTAAACCCTGTCTGGGATTAATGAGAACGTGTCTAAGTAAAAAGGGAGCGCTAGCTTTTTCAATTGACAATGGAATTTTATTCAATTCAAAAGATAACTTTCCCAAGTAAAGCAAGAACCTATTCGAACGCATCAACTCAAAAACAAACAATTGCACACTACTAATCTCTGAATTTACAGTATATGTTGATATGATAGACGTGTTTAGCTTAAATTGGACGTATTATACAAATAATAAAGATCTTTCATCACAATATAAATTAAAATAGTTTTAAACCAAAATTTAAATATTTACATAAAAGAGTGGAAGTTTAATTTGCAACTGGACATGGAACTATTTTAATTAAAATGGAAGTCCTTTAACTCAAAATGGTATTTTAATTAAACGTATTGTTGTACTAGTCTGACTAAGCAACCTTTTCAAGGAAGAGTAGGGCCTTGCCAAATAGAAAGCGAGTAACACTTTCAAATAATCATGGAACTCTTCCAATTAAATTGGAAGTTCTATAACGCCAAATAAAACTTTTCCAAGTAAAAATAATTTTTCAACTCAGAAGAGATCCTTTGTAAGTACGCGTAGGATTCTTTCACCTTTCAAAATGAAATTGCCCCAACCTAAAACACTTTTTGCAACTTAAATGAGATCATTTTGAACTGAACATGGACCTTTTTACTTCAAAATGAAACTTTTCCGATAAAAAGACCTTTTTCTCAACTCAAACGACATCCTTTTAAGCAAGCATGGAACTTTTTCAGTTGACAGCTAAACTTTTCACGTAAAAATGCTTGTTCCACTCAGAAGAGATCCGTTGTAAGTAAGCATAAATTAAAATTCTTTCACCTGAAAATGAAACTGCCCCAAGCTAAAACACCTTTTCAACTTAAAGGAGATCGTTTTGAACTGAACACGGACCTTTTTAGCTCAAAATGAAACTTTTCCAAAACAATTACCTTTTTCTCAACGCAAAAGACATTATTTTAACTAAGCATGGAATCTTTTTCAACTGACGATTAAACTATTGTAAGCAAAACTTCTTTTTTGAACTCAAAGAAAGTCATTTTTAAGTGAACATGGAACTCTTTCAGTTAAAAACGTAACTTTTCCAATGAAAAGTTTTTGCAACTCAAAGGAGATACTTTTAAACTGAAAATGGACCATTTTAGGTCAAAATGAAACTTTTCCCCAAGAAAATTAACTTAGGGACTAGTTAAAAAGTATTGAGAGNTAGCTTGTGTTGATTAAACTAGTTCAAAACAACTGGTAGATCCCGTGGACCTTATTTTCCTGGTGTGTCTTCAATTCGAGTAGTACCCTGATTCGTGGTGCGAAACACCGAGCCATACCGAGCCAAGAATGATCAGCAAACAGTGGCATGGTAACGAATCCAGATGTGCTTCTCTTATAAAGATGGGCCACCAAAAAAGGGGCTGCCAGGGTTTAATGTGTGTGCAAGGGTTCAATGTAGAAATGTTGGTGTTATCTTGGGTTTCAGCAATTTAGAGGGGCAGCCCCCCCTTCCCCACCCTTTTTTCCTTATCAGTAACTATTGACACATCCACAACCAGCGCATAAATTGTCTTTGAGTCACACAAATTCTACCCTGGATTATTGTGTGGAATAAAGCACTGATCGTTTATTTATACATTACGATACGATGGAGGTCGATCGAAGTTTTTCGAATAATATAATTTGGTAAAACCAACGGGACTTTTGCCTCTGTGTCAAAAGGAATCTTCGTGCGTAACCATGTCATTCACATGAATCCACGTTCGTTTTCATGCAAATCAAATTCAGTTTTATATGAGTTTTGCACCAGGACTCGTTCTGAAAATGAGGTAAGTCGGAGGTGGCCTATTGGATTCGAATAAATCGAAGGCCTGGACACCTCATAAAAAATTATCATAAAATTAATTATACATTCATTTTTGCATTGCACCTCAGTTCAGTGTGACATGTGGTCACGGACCTGCTCGGCTTCACTTCTTCAAGCAGGAATTTAACTGCGTTTCTGCCTGACAAATGACTTTCTAATGACTAGCAAGTTATTTCCAAGTCACAAGAACGCCCGGCCTCAGTTGAAGAAACAGAACATGGCCAAATTTAAGACGTTTAGCAGATTCAGCAGATCAGAGATATCTTCACTTGAGGTAAGGTGAAGAACCGTTGCTGAACAGCGCTATTTCTTTCTCGAAGGTGCGAAAATGTTGTTGAAACAACTCCGGAGACGAATTTTATGCACGAAATTTTATTACTTTTTCTGCTCTATTTCATACAGAGTTTACTGCGGATACTTTACACGCCACGCTCAACACGCTGATAAGGTTACCGTAGACTTTAAATTCTATCCAAAGTTTGCGAAATTGCTTAAAAACAATGTTTAATAATTTTGCTATAAATTGTTTCGTGTTCTAGCGCTTTAAACGAATGTTAGGATTTTAGCGCTACCTTGGACTAATGGATTCTTCACCGTTAAATTTCTAAAGTGTTTGCTTTCAACCACTTTAGACTCTTTAAAGAACAGTATTTGGTCTATAAATTTGGAGGTGGGAAAGTTTTATAACTTATAGTAACATCTTTGTCACTAAACCCGATTTTTCGTTTTTGTTTTAGATTACGGATGCCTTGTGTTCAACCATTGCGCAGCTAAAAAAGTCCTCGAGCTTGCTTGAGGACCTCTGTGTGAAGTAAGGCTCCTTAAATTATATTGTTTTCGTCGATAAATGGTTCTTTTTGAAAAATTTGGTGACAAGGCATTCATGTTTGTTTTTTATATCTACAGATAGACGCTGAGACTTGGGATAGCAAGTGGACAAGAAAAAAACCCAATCTTTATGTAAGTGCTGGTGACTGGGAATTTTGTTGTTTTCGCTGTCTCAAGTTTTTGCAAGTTTAAAATTCTAACTCTAACAAGCCATTATTTTTAATATTGGGAAAAATATTATCCAGTTTTAAAGCTTGATGTTGAAGTTTTTAGCTTGAAACTAGCAAAGCTAGCACATTATGCAGCGCATTTTGGTCATGCTGAATTGTTATCGATGGAATAATGGTGTTTTTATATTACAGGAGAGCTGGAATGTGGAGTAAGATTCACAGAAACAAACACAAGGTTAGGAGGAAACCAAACGAACGCAGGAAAATGTAAGTTGACTTCACGTTGTGTAGTTGTAATTGGGGATGAACTATCAAATGTTTTACGAAGGAAATTGCCAAAAATAATCCTGCACAACATAGCTAGAGAAAGAAAAAATCGTACAACGCGAGCCAAGAAAGAATCTCTTACTCAGGAAAAATTTCCCTCTCCACCCCTTTCAAAAACGTATAATTATTATCCAAATGGTCTTGTTAGCAGCAGGCTACTAATAAATTTAAAAGGCCGGACAACGCTTTTCAGTTTGTAATACATGTTCGACATTAACGTCTGTCATCGCAAGTTACAACTGGAGTGAATTTGAATATACAAGTTGATATACAAGTTTTGTACCATAGGTGTTACCTAGAATAACTTACATCACACAAATAAAATACGTGGATTTTAAAACAAAAGAACAACAGGCAAACGCAGAAAAAACGTGCTGAAATGTTAATTAAAATGCAACAAATTAAATTAACATGACGAATTTGCTGATTTAAAGAGGTGGTTAACATAAAAACACGCCATTTTTTCAGACTTTTTCATGGTTAAGATTTAATTCCAAACCGTGACAAAGTACACAATTTAAGAAAGCTTAAAGACCAAAGATTATGAAAAAAATATTTTTGTACTTAGAAAAACAAATCCTGAAAATTTTAGCTCATTGGACAAATCCTTCTCAAAATATTTTTTTTGAAAGGCAAACTGATAATTCGTTTTGAGAAAAGGAGCTTTAAACTTACAGCAACAGAAATGCTTATCAAAAGTTAGACTTCAGTACCTTAAAATTCCAATTTCGTTAAAAATAAAAGTTCGATTTTTTCTTACAGAATTTTAGCTTAACCCCTGGCTTGAAACAGTATATTCACCACGTCAAATTATGTCAAATTTATCGTGTTCATCATATCAATTTGCAGGATTACAGGGAGGAAAACTGAAACTGGGAATGGAAAAACGGGGAGCAAGCAATGGAATTGGGCAAAACGTAAGTACCTCCTTTATTTGTTTTATTGAGGGCGTTGAAATCAATCTGCACTAAAGGATTAAAACATTTTGATAGATTTTGTCATGTCCTGCAAAACAACAAATTAATATGATCAAATTGCGTATTTATGGCAAATGGAAAATCCCACGGTTACTTTTCCACGCCAAAAGTCAAACTCAATTGCCTAGATATGCAAAAACGAAAAGATGTAGTGACCTAAAGGTTTGTCTCTCGAACGGATCTTTGCATTTTTGGCGAAATGTTGGTGTAAAAAAATTCGAACTGAAAAAAAAATTGAAATTGGAAAAAAATGTGTTGTTTCAACAACGTAACAACCGATTGTGTGATCAACCATCAATCAAGCTCTTGTTGCTGTAGTGTAGTCAATTAAATTTAAGAATTGTTTTCCTTGATCGAGATTTGAAGTTAAAAGAATGTGAACGTTTTCAACTTAAAATGTAACCATTTTGAATCGCAAGGAACTTTTTAATCTACATATGACACTTTTTCAACCTGGAGGTTTCGGAAACTTCATGACTTTAAATTCCAAAGCAAACGTTTTCAACTTCAACAGAGACTTTTATTTGCAACTTAAATTCAAGGTTGTAAACCCTGTCTGGGATTAATGAGAACGTGTCTAAGTAAAAAGGGAGCGCTAGCTTTTTCAATTGACAATGGAATTTTATTCAATTCAAAAGATAACTTTCCCAAGTAAAGCAAGAACCTATTCGAACGCATCAACTCAAAAACAAACAATTGCACACTACTAATCTCTGAATTTACAGTATATGTTGATATGATAGACGTGTTTAGCTTAAATTGGACGTATTATACAAATAATAAAGATCTTTCATCACAATATAAATTAAAATAGTTTTAAACCAAAATTTAAATATTTACATAAAAGAGTGGAAGTTTAATTTGCAACTGGACATGGAACTATTTTAATTAAAATGGAAGTCCTTTAACTCAAAATGGTATTTTAATTAAACGTATTGTTGTACTAGTCTGACTAAGCAACCTTTTCAAGGAAGAGTAGGGCCTTGCCAAATAGAAAGCGAGTAACACTTTCAAATAATCATGGAACTCTTCCAATTAAATTGGAAGTTCTATAACGCCAAATAAAACTTTTCCAAGTAAAAATAATTTTTCAACTCAGAAGAGATCCTTTGTAAGTACGCGTAGGATTCTTTCACCTTTCAAAATGAAATTGCCCCAACCTAAAACACTTTTTGCAACTTAAATGAGATCATTTTGAACTGAACATGGACCTTTTTACTTCAAAATGAAACTTTTCCGATAAAAAGACCTTTTTCTCAACTCAAACGACATCCTTTTAAGCAAGCATGGAACTTTTTCAGTTGACAGCTAAACTTTTCACGTAAAAATGCTTGTTCCACTCAGAAGAGATCCGTTGTAAGTAAGCATAAATTAAAATTCTTTCACCTGAAAATGAAACTGCCCCAAGCTAAAACACCTTTTCAACTTAAAGGAGATCGTTTTGAACTGAACACGGACCTTTTTAGCTCAAAATGAAACTTTTCCAAAACAATTACCTTTTTCTCAACGCAAAAGACATTATTTTAACTAAGCATGGAATCTTTTTCAACTGACGATTAAACTATTGTAAGCAAAACTTCTTTTTTGAACTCAAAGAAAGTCATTTTTAAGTGAACATGGAACTCTTTCAGTTAAAAACGTAACTTTTCCAATGAAAAGTTTTTGCAACTCAAAGGAGATACTTTTAAACTGAAAATGGACCATTTTAGGTCAAAATGAAACTTTTCCCCAAGAAAATTAACTTAGGGACTAGTTAAAAAGTATTGAGAGGGGTAGGTAGGAGCAGAGAGGGAGTAGGTTATCAGTTTTAGAGCTCTCGGTAAGGAGTGGGTCGTCTAATTTTTAAATTGTCAGCTACCCATGGGGGTGGGTCATCCTGTTTTATAACTGGAACTGGCACACATTTGACACAATCGATAACAGATGCAACTCCTTCCAGTTCCTAAGGACGAAAATATTTCGAGCCGTGGCTGAAAAAGTACACTTACCTGGTGTACAGTAGTCTCTCTTGGCATGCCCATGTAGATATAATTAAGATATCTTTTTCCAAAAAAGTCGGTGCTTTAAGAATGTTGTATTTACCCAAGTCATTTCTAGTAGAAATATACTTTAAAACAATTATACCTAGTGTGACCTACGGATTATCAATATGGGGAAATTGTTCCCAATCATTACTTAACCAATTAGATCATATTCATGCCCGAGCATGCCGAATTATTAATCATCTTCCTTCTTCATTAGAAGGTAGTTTATGCCTGTCTCAAAGTAGGTGGCTTCCTATTAACTATTTATATAAGAGATGCATATTACTTAAGATGCATCAAGTCTTCACAGGGTCTGCTCCTAGATAAATTTTAGATTTATTTTCTAAATCAACAAGATCTACAAGATTCAGTAACCAATTTAATATTATCAGGGTGAAAACAGAATTAGGAAGAAGTTCCTTACAATACAGGGGACCAAATATTTGGAATTTTCTGAATAGAATAGTCAAATTTTCTAATATTAGTAAAGAAGGTTTTAAATCAATTTTAAGAAAATGTTCTAAAGACATCCTCCAATTTTCTTTTAATAAAGAAGCCATTTTGATTTCAAACAAGAAATATGATTTTATTTATTATTAAGTTAATAAGGTATTTTAATTCTGATTATTGTTTTATTTTTATCTTAGTTATTTTACTAATATAAGCAGGTCCGCATCAGCCTTTTGGCTGCCGATTCAATATTGTTTATTCAATCTTGTAATTATAAACCTGCTCTGACAAATAAAGGATTGATTGATTGATTAGAGATGGCGATTTCATTTAGTGTAAAATCTGTACCAACGCTAATAAGTCAAGGAGTTCCAGGGCAGAAATTGTTAAAACACTGCACTTTTTCGACATATGCTGGTCTTCAAAAACACCAAACGGCCAACTTGTGTTCACATGCTATTTATCCCCAAGGGTACGGGACACATGTTTATGGATCTGGGACTCGCACTCTTAGGCCTGATATTCGTAGTTTGCTGGCTGTGTAAGTCCCAGGACTCACTACAACCTTTTCTAGATAGATTACTGTTCCACGCGTAACGAGCCTGGAGACCTAGCGTGAAAGGTTTACGGTCAAGATTTTTTCCATAGTTTACGGACATGACTTAAAGTTGCAAGAGTAAAGGAAAACAATATTATTTTGAGGTGATTTTATATTATTGTTAAGAAATAACTCTAACACGTTAATAATACCAAAATTTCATACATAAAATGTGATTTTGGTGGATTATGCAGCCAAAAATGTCGTGTTTTGTAGAGAGGGGCTGGGTCATGTGATTTTCAACCTTCATTTAGGGTTGGGTCAACTCAGTCTTGTGCCAAATGGAAGGGGTGGGTCATGTGTTTTCTAACCACCACATTTTCAAATGCTCTGGCCCAGCCCCGCTGTACTTTTTGATCGGTCCCTTAAAAGAGATCCTTTAAAGGAAGCGTGGAACATTCTTTGAGCTGAGAATGAAAATTTTCTAAGCAAAAGTACTTTTTTGAACTCGAAGGAGGTCATTTTTAAGTGAACATGGACCTTTTAACACAAAATTAAACTTTTCCCTTGAAAGACTTTTCAACCCAATAGAGATCTTTTTTAGCAGGCATGAAACTTTTTTCAACAGAAAGTGAAACTTTTCCAAGCAAAAATACTTTTTTCAACGACAACGAGATCCTTTTGAACTGAAGATGGACCTTCTTAGCTTAAAATGATTTTTTTCCAAGGAATTAAAATAATTTTTCCAACTCCAAAGAGCTTCTTTTAGGCAAGCATGTAATTTTTTGCAACTGAAGATGAAACTTTTATAAGCAAAAATACTTTCTTTGCACTCGAAACAGATCTTTTTTAACTGAACACGGAACATTTTAACTCTCAATGAAATTTTTCCAAAGAAAAATAATTTTTTCAACTCAAGATACTATTTTAAGCAAGCATGGCAACTGAGGATGAAATTTTTCGAAGTAAAAATACTTGTCAAAAGCAATAATTTTTAAATAGACATAAGAACTTGCTGGAGTTGGAAATGAAACTTTTCTAAGCAAAAACACGTTTTTCAATGAAAAGGAAATCCTTTTGAACTGAACGTGGACCTTCGTAACTCAAAATGATTTTTTTGCCAAAGAAAATGACTTTTTTCAACTCAAATGAGATCCGTTTTGTTCAAAAATGGAATTTTTTTCAACTGATGATTAAACTTTCCTAAGCAAAAATCCTTGGAATTGAAAACTGAAACTAGACTGAAAATGAAAATTTTCCGAGCCAAAATACCCCTAGAACTGAAAGTATCCCTTGCACTGAAAATGCAAACCTTTTACTCAAAATGAACTTTTCCAAAGAAAAATACTTTTTTCAACTTAAAAGAGATCCATTTAGACAAGCATAGAATTTTTTGAAACTAACGATGAAACTTCGTTTCACTCAAAAGAGCTCCTTTTTAAGAAGTCTGCATACAAGCCAAGTGGCCCATCAGGCCGGAGCTTATCCCGGTTTCTGTAGCATGAAGCGACTTGGAGTATTTCTACTCCCCCCTGGATGGGNCGGGGCTCGAACCCGGACCGCTCGATCCGGAGACGAACGCACTAACCATGAGGCCACCGCGCCTCCCTTTTTCAATTTGAAAATGAACTTTTTTCAAAGAAAAATACTTTTCAGTTATTTTATTGGAAATCCTTTTAACCGAGCAAGGAACTATTTAGCTCAAAAAGAGACGTTTTCAACGAAAAAAGACTGTTTTTCTCAAAAGAAATCCTTTTAAATAAGCATGGAACCTTTTAAACTCGAAATAAAACTTTTTCAACTATGGCTGAAACCTTCATACAGTTTTGTTTGGAATAACTTAGTCCAAATTTGGTTACGTAACACGTATCCAGGCACAGATCTTGATAAACAGTTTTATAAACACAACAGAATTTCTTACTTTGAAT